CCACAACATAATGGAGCAGTAAATCAGCAGAACAGGGAAGCAGATTTTTAGGTTTGGGTTTTTTTTAGTAAATAGTTTATTCTTGTCTTCTGAATACATAACACCTACTCAGGGTAGTTTGTAATATTAATGGACACATTAATATCATATTGAGTGGTGGAATCAGTATTTTCTCCACTACACTGAGCTATATATTCCTAAAGAGTTGAACCCAGGTGCATGTCCTAGATTTGAGTTACAGGTGCATGTCTCACTCATGTCCTTACTCAACTTTGAGGAGGCAAGACTGAGGCAGCTTCTTGTCACCGCGTTCTGGACACAGGAAAGAAAAGGCTGAGGGGTAACAGGAGAGACCTGGCCAAGTGCCCAATGCATCCCCACATACTACAGTACTTATGTAGCCAGGGTGACATAAAATGCATTGGAGAAGGCCACAGATGTTGAATCAGCAAATTCATCGGTAAGATCCATTCATGGCTTCCAATAACTAAGTTGAAAAGTAGAAGACCAGAAAAACATTCCTGATAACTATGCTGTGAAAGAGTTTTAGAATTTGGGTGATGTGCAAAGAAGAATTGTTTCTTAAGCTGTTTTTCTTTTTTTTTAAAATCTGCAGTAATCTTGCATCTAATTTTCTCTTGAGTAGAGCCACCAAGAAGCACAAGAAATCATCATCTGTTCATAGAATCTATCTCTATTATGAAATACTTCTACATGCTTCTTCTAATTCCTCCTGAGGTACTGGCAGCAGACAAAATTATCACTTCTTCTCTTTCATTTGAACTCCTTAAAATTAAATCAAGTCACTGTCAGTAATTTTACTGCAGTAACAATTTTCAAGCAGAGACCTCAATGACTTCAATGAATATTAAAAGCCAATGGACCAATAAAAGTTACACATCAGGTTGTACCACTCTTCTTACTTAGTTTCTACTTATATCCACAGACCTTCACAGGAGTGACTGACAAGGAACAACTCCAGACAATCCTATTTATGTGCAGGACTAGTGAAGAAGCCCTACAAACTTGCTCAAAACAATGTCAGGGGCTCCAAACGAATTTCATCAACACAGGAACCATTAGTTCCATTAAAGAAACAAAATGGCATCTTTTTAGGAGGGAAATATGACATTGCTATCATGACAATGCTGTCACCTCTCTTCCTCTATTTTTGTACATTGTTTTCCTACTTATCTGTCTGCCAGTGCTGTGATGAGTGAGATCAGAACTAAACTCCAGGATTATTTTTATGAAGGAAATATGTCACTTCAGTTTCTTGGTTATATCAGAGCCTCAAGATTCTTTGGAAAATCATCATGTAACAGATTCGCTGCTTTGCGACAATATAATGATTTTATCACTGCTAAATTTCCTCTTTATGTTAGAAAAAGAAGAGAAAATCAACTGCCACTATTTAATTCCACCTATCAACATAAAAAAACATCTTATAGGGATAGCTGTCCAAAATGCTTTTCAGAGGCATCAACTTAAATTACCTTTCATTCAACCACAGATGCATTATTATTATCAGCATCAGCATCATCATGATCATCGTTTTAATTATTTACTGGATACAACATATATACCTAGAAGTTTGAAAAAACATTTTTATTGTTTTTACTGCCACTAGAGTTAAGTACTTGTTTGTATTGCAGATAGAGACAAAAAAAATAACAGAAACTGCTATATTCAGACACTTTTGTATAAGAGGGAAAATTTTTACTTTATTTTTTTTAGGGAAAAAGAATTGTTTGCCCTTTGTTACTATCATTGCTCCAAGACTGGAAAAGAGGTGAATGGTTTTTGCTTACTTCAATGAAGAGTCTCTAAGTTAATTAAAGAATAACATTATATGCATTATGTTATCAAGGAATCACAGAATATCCTGAGTTGAAAGGGACTCACAAGGATCATCAAAGTCCAGCTCCTGGCCCTGCACAGGACAGCCCTAAGAGTCACACCTGGCCCTGCACAGGACAGCCCTAAGAGTCACACCTGGTGACCAAGAATATCGTCCAAACACTTCTTGAACTCTGTCAGGCTTGGAGCTGTGAGCACTTCCCTGGGGAGCCTGTTCCAGTGCCCAACCACCCTCTGGGGGAAGAGCCTTTCCCTGATATCCAACCTAAACCTCCTCTGACACAATTTCAGGCCATTCCCTCCGGTCCTGTCCCTGGTCACCACAGAGCAGAGATCAGTGCCTGCCTCTCCTCTTCCCTTCATGAGGAAGTTGTAACTGCAGCGAGGTCTCCCTGCAGTCTCCTCCAGGCTGAACAGACCAAGTGCCCTCAGCCGCTCCTCACACGGCTTCCCCTCAAGGCCCTTCACCATCCTCATGGCCCTTCTTTGGACACTCTCTAATAACTTTATATCTGTCTTACAATGTGGTGCCCAAAACTGCCACAATATTCAAGGTGAGGCCGTCCCAGTGCAGAGCAGAGCAGGACAATCCCCTCCCTCTCCCAGCTGGCGATGCTTTGCCTGATGCCCCAGGACACAGTTGGCCCTCCTGGCTGCCAGGGCACTGCCAGGGCACTCATATTCAACTTGCCATCGACCAGGACCCCCAGGTCACTTTCCACAGCATGGAATAGACTGGATATTTGGGTTAACATCTATGAATATGTGTAAATGAATAGAGGACTTGAAAAAGGCAATGAGTTACCTCAGCAAAGCACTTCACTGGAATACGTTGGCCTAAGTTTGATCAGGGACAACCAAAAATTCATTGATTCCATTTTACGTTTTCTACTACACCAGTATATGGGAAGAATCAGACACAATGTGCAAAATACACACAGTCAAAATACTGGCACTACACACTTTTCTCGAGTAAGCCCAGAGTACACATTCAGTGATCCTTGCACTTTGTGTGTGGATGCAGTGGTTTAGATACTGGTTTGCTGGGGTTTTTTTAATTGCTGACTGTACACTTTCTGCACTGTCTGCTGGAAAACCATCTATCCACATAGTATTCTCCATCACTGATTTCTAGTTTTAAAGCCTATAACAGGTAAGCAAAACCAAATACCCTTCAAGTAGTCTGTCAAGTAGAGACAATTGCTACCACTGTCACAGCAATCTCCCATCCTTGTAGGTAAGGGACCATGGACAATGATTGTAGGAATCAGACTGCAGGGGATAAACACAAAAATGTTATAAGAACCCTTGTTTTAAAACTACCATTTGGATTACGTGGAGTTTGTTTTATTCTATTTATTTATTATTTTATATAATATACTCATTCCTCAAATTCTTTACTCTTTCTATTTAAGAGCTGGAGTCTTGCTTCTAGGCACATTCCCTTCCTCCTTACCTGCAAAGTATATAAAGCCTCTGTTCTTGCCAGCCTGCATTAAACATTGCAATACAATTATCCTCTATCACTGGACTGTTATCTCAGGGAATTGAATTAGACTTCCTAGTTTAGAAACATCAAATTATTTACACAAAATATTATAGTTGAAACAGATCCAGTTTAGAGCATTAAATGATGGTTAAGGTAGTGAAGACTAAAAAGATCAGGTCACTGATTTAAAACAGAACTAAAAGTTGAATTTGATCCTGAGGGTACCTGTTGAGAGTCATATCAAGCAGGTTATTGCCTATTCAGAAGCACGGAAAATCAGTTTTTCTTTTAGCCTTGTCTCTAAGTTGCAGCTATAAAAGTTTCCTCAAGAAAGGTTTGTTTTGAACCAATAGCAGTTCTGTGGGAATTTCGCTGTCAGTTTTTCACAAGTACAAGTTATCAGAACTTTTGGTTCAGAAATATGAAACAGCTTTAGATGGATGTTCAAAAACACCCCTGATAAGTCCCTTCTGTTTTGATACCTTACCTACAGGGGTAGAAAGGGAAGCATTCAGCAAATCACAGAATCATATAAGTTGGTTCTTTTCCTGAAAAAGGTGCAATATATTTCATTTCTCACTCTTTCAACACAAACCAAAACCCTTTCTTGCAGAAAAGACTGTCTTAATTTTTATATTGCCCTTATAGTTGAAACACAAAATTATCAGTTAGCATGTCCTATGCACTTTAAATTAATATAGTTTCTTATTGAAGATTACTCTGTCAAGAGTGTGTCAATACATCTTTCATCCATGAAAGCTTTTTGTTATATAGTTCTCACTGTTCTAGGCATAACCTGATTACAATTTAAATTTTCTTGATATATCTGGGTTTTACTTGCATCACCACTCTAAATTGTGACAAGAAATCAACATGGAACAACACCCAAACGCATTTCCAGAGTAAAATACCCCCCAGTAGACTTAGGAGTTTTCCATTGGTACTTACCCCATAACTAGATGTTATTTCTTACCTCCACCCTCCAACCTATTCCCATCAGTGCCCATTCACCTCTCACTCCCCTGACCATGAAAGTCTCCCCATTAAACAGGATGAAAGCTGTTGCACCAACCCTCCCCCCTTTCTGAATTTAGGGGGTCAGTTGCTTTTTATGTGCGCTTCAAATATGCGCAGTTTTAAAGCAGCTTCCCACCAAGGGCAGCTTGTGCTGCATTTGAGGTTAAACCAAGAGAGATCCCCTCTCCCTGGGATCCCTGAGCACTCCCAGGCCCCCTCGTGTGTCCCGTGGCTCCCATGGGAATGTTGAGCACCCACAGGTCGGGGGGGCCCTAAGCCAAACTTGCTCCCACTGGCATCACAGCAAAAGCTGGCTGAATTCAATAGGATGGAAAGGAGCCCAAAGGATGAAAATACGAAGATAATGCTGTGGAATGCTGTTGCTGACTAGTTGCATTTGAATTTAAAGTGAGGAAAAGATGAAGGGAAAGAAAAAACTTTGGTAAGAGTTATAAGATGCTATGTTTTCCATTCCCAGTACGAGGAAGTTTTCACTTCCTTGCCAGGAAGAATTGTAGTGTCTCTTGTCATTACTCTATTTCATTATTTAAATTAAAATAATGGCTGAAAAACATTTCTTCCCTTTTCCCCCTTATACATGCTAAAATATAAAAAGGTAGAGATAAGATCCAACCTTTATTCCACTTTGAACAAGCTTGTGTATATCCAAAAAAGGTTCCTTGAGTATGTCTCCTTCGGGAGTGAAAATCTTCACATATCCTTCTTTCTCAAGAATGAAGAGGCGATGGGATCCATCCCCACAATGTACTGCTCCAACAGGCTGCCTTAGTCCACTCACAACCTCCTGAATACAGAAGCAGTTGTGCTTGTGTTTTCTAAAGAAATTTAAAGAAAACATGAGATGTTTCTTCTTTTTTGTAACCGTGACACAACAACGTCCCTAAAAGATAAAATTTCTGTTCTGCAGTGATACTAGAAAGTTTATATTATAAACCAGTTTTATGTATTTAAATATATAATCACATATCCAGAATAAATTACTTCCTTGAATGCAGGGAAGCAGATAATACTGAGAATCAGTTTGAATTCCACTTGAGCAAAATTTGGTCTGTATGCAAGAAAGAGAAAATTAAATAAACTTAGATCCAATATGTAGAAGAATGGGAGAGAAAAAAAATTGGTAAAAGAAGAGAATAATTTAGAAACACAGAATTTCTACCATAAAATAAACATACTAAATTTCATCACTTTGACAAAATTTGGCTTCTAAAACCCATTTAAAATAGTGACTTACAATGGGATAATCTAATTTAATTATTTTCATGAAGAAAAATACACTATTGAAATAAATTGAAGATCATGAAATAAATGTTTTACTAATAAACTTATTGTAGTTGTTTACAATAAAGTAAAGTAATATTACATTCAGGTAGAAATTACTTCCCAGAACTATGTATGATCCACAGGCTGGACGATAACCAACATCCACAGGGTGGATCAAACCAGGATTCTAACACCTTTTCAGCAAGGCAAATATCAAATGGTACTGAAATGTTGAAGTTAATGTAACTTTCTCTTTTGATGTACACTAGCAGCAGCAAAAGAAAGTAACATCTGGAAAACACAGCTGCTGAGCATAAGGACATACTGAGCTGTTTCACTGTGAAAACCACAGGCTTTGATAGGTTTTTGTTTTGGTTTGTTTTTTTGGTTTTTGTTTTTTTTTTCAGATTAAACAGCATTTATCTTTATGAACCTGTTGATCTCTTCCTCTTTGTCATATTCTTCCATGTGGTCCAGGGAGTTAGAGGCTGGCCCTCGCACTTGTTTTCTTGGAAAATCTGGAAAGCACACGCCACCATCTTTTCTTGCATAGTAATAGCAAAACTCATCAGCTGTAGTTTGGAGAAAACCTTAAAAATGCAAAAGAGCATACAAATATTTAGTGTGTTGTCATGTCTGCATGTTTAGTGTCATCAAACTCATCTTTAAAAAGATTACAGTGGAAAAAGAGGTCATTTTAAACAAAGCACTATCTGCAAAAAAAAAGGCCTGCTCTGAATAAACACAAACTGAGTATTACCTTTTACAGTTTATTAATCTGTATTTGTATTAAACCTGATTTCAGTGTGCTTATGTAAAAATACCAATTCGTTCAAAATGACACAATTCACTGACTAAAAAATTAAGAGACAAAGCTCAGAGTTGAGGCTATGATACACTTCTCCCTGATTTTAACCTATCAATCAAGTGCAGTATCTGCAGTAAAACAGCTCGAGTAGCTTCTGTGTAACTTTTTTTTTTTTTTAAGTGGCTTGCTGTAGTCAAAATCTCAGTAAAGACTTTGGTAAAAGGCATGAAGTAAAGACCGTGGAGTGCTGCCAGCAAAGGGCATCGGTTGGAGAGGTGAATAATCACCAGTCAGGTGAATCTCAGAAAGAAGTGCTGCTGAAAACTGCCCTGGGTTGACATGCAGTTGGCCTCTGGTTGACTCCCAGCATCGAAATGGGTGAACACAGTGTCCTATCATGAGGTTTTGCTTCTCAGCCCCCAAACCCTCCTGAGGGGGATATGCCTCATGCTGCACTGGAGCTGGCTTGGATGAAAAGTGGTCTTTAGCTTTTAGGTTAAAATGGGAAGGAGTTCGAAGGTCCACATAAACAGGGAGTTGGTAAAATGAGGGCCTTTGAGGAAAAAACCTGCCACTACTGCTTTTACACTATGTTTAATGACATTAAAAGTATCTATTTCTGTTCACAAACCTATTTCTAGTAATTTCTATCCAGTTTTTAAGCACGAGTATTAAATCTAAGAAGACATAGTCTGGCTAGTTATACATGTGCTATGTTATTAGAACGTGAAGATAATATGTCTTAAGTTGCCTTCATTCCTTTTTGTATTATTGGCAACTGTCTTACGATGTACTGTGGTCCAGGACATAACTCATAGGATACACAGAATTAGCACTTAATTGGAATTAGAGGCCTAATTCATGCATGGCTTTACCACTTGTGAATAATGCAGTAATCCATAGGTCTTGGCCATAAAACCTCTGGCTTAGAATGTACAGTAAGAGCTGATCAGGGACAGCTGTGTTTCATTGGAAGGTGCCAGTTTCTTTTAAGCGAAGCTTTTTCAGGAACATTATCAGTTTTGACAAAATTTTAGTTACCATGATGTTTCTGGTCTGAACTCAAACTTCTGGTCTAAATGAGAAAGAAAGAGACAGCAAACCTCCTATCACTATACTCCAATGTCTTGTAATTAGGGTGTTTCATTAGGAGGAGGAATATTCAGGTCAATGCCCCTCATCTGTCAGGCAAGAGTTTGACCCTAAGTCTCCCATTTCCCAAGTAAATGTCCTAACAACGACTTTATTAGCTATCCTGGGGTGGTCTCTCTGTGGCTTTCTTCATGGAAAATTTCGAAAGAGTTCAATTTCTTCCTTATGTGGAATAGGAAAATTTTTTAGATCCCAGAATTTTTGTGGAGTGGAAAGCCTTTCCCACCCAACTATACTTCTTTTCATATACATCTTCCTTTAAAAATATTGGAAAAATAACATGACAAAGCCTGCCTTTGGTTTCTATAAAATAATATCTGGAAACACATGGTAGTGTCTTGTGGTGTAAAAGTTTAATTACCATGATTTGGAGCTTCAGTAAATTTCATCTCTGAGGAGCTGGTTTTAATTTATAGTAGTTATTTGGAGAAAATGGAAGATATAATTCCAAGTGGAAAAACGGAAGAGGAACTCTGATATAATCACAGAGTACTATTCCAAGGCTTGTAGATATAAAGCCAAAATCAAAGGTAATCTAAAATCTTGCTGTTGAATTATTTGACTTAAGAATACAGAGTTTTGTCTTTAATAATTTATTTCTCTAGGCACAGAGGGTCATTCAAAAAAACGCAACAGCAAATTAGAGGTGTACGATTACTAAGAATTTCTAGAATTTTCCAAGTATACCATCTCCTATTTACTATAGACAAATTACTCTTGGCTTGAATGGTTTCTTTAGTCAGGGAAGCTGAGAGCATATTGTGATCATGTTGTTCACTCGGTACATGTCCCTTTCAAATAACAATCAGATGCAAACTCACTTGACTAGTGCAATGCCTTTTCTTACATGTAAGACTAATCCCATTTCCTTATGAAAGATTTTATCATGCACTTAAGTACATGTTGCACTGCAGTTGCCTTTTGCTATTTAGCAAGCCCATCAGCAGGTTCCAAGAAGGGATAAGGCTTATGTTCCATTTTCATTACAAGTGCTTGTAAAAAAATGGGGTTAGAATTAAACTGAGAAAAATGTTGCATTACTAGAAGGAATGTAACCTCTGTAAATACAGTTTCACTTGTGTATTAAGAGTGAAATTTTGTTATTTTGTTGTATAAAAACCATAGTAACTTACAAAAAAAAAATAAATTTGCATGTGTTATATATGCTCAATTTAACATACTAACAGAATCACTGAAGGCAGTTAGAAAAACATTTGCTTCTACTCCCTATCTGCTTGAAGCCATTTAATGTCTTCTGTCTCGTGCTTAGATTGTAAGGTCTTTAGTGTAGTTTGCCATTTTGTTCAGCATTTGTACAGTGTCCAGAAGAATGGTCCCTGACAAGTGCTCCTAAGCAGTAGAACTGTTTGGAGGGGAAAAAAAAAAAAAGATCATTTTGCTCAGTCAAATACAGCTCCGTCACTGTCCTCTGTGAGAACTGTGCCTAATAAGGACTGCAACCCTTGGTCCTGTGTGAATTTCTGTACTAACTACTTTATTTTAAAACTCATACATATTATTACAAATTTCCTACCATCTGTGTACGTGTTGACAGAGCAGTGCCTGTGTTAACAAAGAAAATTGAAATCACAAAGGAAGATTAAACATCATGTTTAGGTGTCAGATTTTGCACAGGCTTGCATTTCTGTGCTTTTAAAACTTTGTCTTGCAAACAAGAATCAAATGACAGGCTTTTCAGTTAAGGCAGTTACAGTGAAGGCTTTCTGTATTCCCCTTTATAAAACACTGTGGGAATAAGTTACATGATTACAAGCCTTTTCAAAGGAAAACTTCTGATTCAGCTGATCTCCACCTCCTCTCTCCACTTGTATTTGCATTCAGTTGTTCCTCACACCGTATCTCCCTTCCTACCCTACCTTCACCAAATTCCATTTTGCTGGATTCCCTGCTTATCCATTCCCTTGCCTCTTCTCTTTGATATACAACTGCAGTGTCGTGGTAGCCCGTGTCCCAGTCTTTACAACAAATTAAGTTCCTATTCACTCCCTTTTTGCACTGCACACAGGATTGAGTATCATCCACTCATCTGAGTAGACTTACCCTGGCTTTGAGGACATTTGGAAATCAGGCTCACCTGCTTTATTTCTGCTGTGACCTTGAGCACACAGTTCAGTATTATGTAAAAGAAGTATTTTCCTGCTTTGGGGTTTTTTTTCCTGATTTGCACTTTTGACAGCTAGATGTGAACAAAAAAACTGCATTTGCCTCTCTCTTCTCAACTGCCAGTGAAAACCAAATCAAAGACATGATTCCAGACTGACTGTTTCAAACTGTAGTAAGTCCCCTGGTAGCTCACATCATTTCCTATTGGTTTTCAAGTGACCAGTGGCCCTTTTCTCATACTCAGATGTTGCCTGTACCTGCACATGGGCAGTGCCAGGGTTAATCCCCTTGATGCCCTTGTTATCAGTAGCAAAATTATGAGCCACTACTATTTTTTCTGCAGGTTGACTGTGTTGACTGTGACTATCAATCAGTGACGTTAGAACTTCTGGGAGTGCTGTGTGAGTTGTAGAATTTCTTAGAATTCCAGCATTTGGGGGTGGGGTGCCCCTGTTTGTTGTTAAAAAAATCCTATCAAGCATCTGTTCTTGTAATGCCTGGATTCAGATCAGGGCCTGGATCTGAATTCACCCACAATCATCTGGAACCCATTCCTTCAAATGAAAATAATGGAGACCAGACAGTTCAAAATCTCTCCCATGTCCTTGAATGGCACTGTGGCTGTGACACAGGTTTGTTCCTTAGAATACACCACTTCCACTGGCATGGATCAAGTTTCTGCTTATGTCCAAAGGCAGAATCAGCCATGCCTTTCTTTACTTGCTACATTAACAATAAATATTAGACAGTCTTCCCTTATGACCTTGTAAAACTTAAAATTCATGTCGTTTGAAGATACTCCATTAAACCACTCAACTCCAGTGTCTCCACCACTAATCACTTAAACTGAGGCTTACAGTAAAGGTTAGATGAGAAATAATCTGGAATGAAGCAGGGAAGTTCTAATCTCATAGTCTTTGTGAAACATTATACTCTCCTGCATATCCACACAATCCTAACAGCTATTTTTATTATTCTGTTTGAAGAAAGAATAGGGTCCCCTTTTTCTCTGAATACTCCTAAAGAAGTCAATGGCAGTTATGATACAGTCATAACTGGTGGGCAAACTGCTGTCTTCAAAAGAGTTAACCAAGCATCTGCTACAGTTTTCATCTTTGCAAGAAGAGACAGAACAATAAATGAATTTTTGAAGCTAACTCAGTCTTGGTTAATATGTAGTGCTAAAATTTCAATCCCAGAAAAGATGCTTGCTATCTTAAAATGCTAATAATATTTCTCATTTGCGCGGGACTTAAGGGATAAAATTATTTTTGTAGTCAGCGATTTCCTTAAACTCCGTTGTATTGGTGTTCAGAAACAATTAGCACTCCCTAATGGAGGAAGAGTAATTATTCGACTTTTTAACAAATGCACAGTGAATCATTGCCAGAGACCTTGGGTTTGGGGGCCTGTTAATTTTCAACTCTTTGTTTAATCCTCCAGGCTAAGCTGAAAACACAGCTTCCCCATTTTCTATTTTTTTCTGTCTTTGGCAATAAATATTATTATGGATATATGAGTCTCACAAGGAAAATAGAAACCCCAAATAAGTTGTTATTGTAATTATTTATATTTCAGAATGTATAAGACTATTGAACTATACTAAAATCCTGTAGGCTGTCTTCTCAAAAAGAGGGACCTGAATCTTAATTAATACCTTTGGGAATCCTAGAATAGGTATCAGCAACCATATGTACCAGTCACCAAACTAACCCTGTTGGTGGATGTAAGTAAGCAACAACTTTTTGTTAGCACAACCTACTTTCAGAACAAGTATTTAGAATGATTATTAGCATCAGATTGATGTAGGAAAAATCCTATTTTAACTGATGCTGAAGTATATAAGCTCTTTTCCTGCAAAGCACAGTGCTCTGCCCAGTGCTAAAGTTATGCTTTCATCTGGTTATCTTTCAAGACAACCTGGGTGGTCACAAAAAGCACTTGACATCTTGATGCACTTCAGCAGTTTTACATATACACAAACTTTGTAGAAAAATAAATTTGTCATTCGTCACCGCATATGTTGATCTGAGGAGCAAGGTTCCTGTGGCTACAGCTCCTGTGCTGCTCAGCCCTTTCTCATTCTCTGTCCCTCCCTCCACCTCCTCATTCCTTCTCCCTTTTCCCTCTTTCACTTTTTTCAGTTAAACACATTGTTTCCTCATAAACACAGAATTTCACAAAACAACTATGAGGGTCTTGCTCTGCAAACTATGATAATTGTTTGCACTAGCTACAAACTCATGTCAAAAATGTCTTTGTGTGGACTTCTTATATGGGCCAAACATTTAGAATATCTAATCTGTTATCGCTGTTCAGCAGGCAGTCTTGGCAACTATGATCTATTCTGCTTTGCTTTGGGGAATGTGATAAAGAGCAAGAAACAGCTGGTTTAAGAAAGCCTTAGAAACATCTCTTAGTTTATAAAGACAATAATAATATTTTCATATTTGAATGGGTTGAGATACATGTTAAACCACAGTAAAGGGAAAATGTAAGTCAATTCAAAATGTTTTCCCAAGTCAATAAAAGAACACTGCAAAAAAACTCCTGTGCTCTTGGGATTTCAGAGAAAACAAGTACACACTGTACACATGCAATTAAAAAACCCTCCTCCAAATCCCATCCACTTAAACTATACCCTTTACTCAAATATGTTTATATTCTATTACAGAGATGTGTTCATATGTAAAAAATGACTATTCACAAATTCATTTTTCGTCTCATTATCAACTCTATTTTCCAGTCTGCTAGTAAAAAAAACCAAAAAAACCCAACAACAACAAAAAAGAAATCTCAAAAGAATTCTCAATCAATTTAATTATTTTCTCCTGTGTGGCATTGTTTGTAAGTAGTGTTTGGACGGCGAAAAAAGCATAGTTTAAAAATGACAGTCTTAAACATATAAATAATTTACTATTGAGAATACCAAAGATGTTATTTAACGTAATAGTGTATTAAGACAGTGTTTCTAAAAGAACCGTCTTCTGCGGTTATTTTGTTGATACAGTTACAAGTGATAGCACACATTTGGTGACTGCCTTAGACAAGGCAGGGTAAATTCTGCTTTTGGTTATGTCCAGCTAACTCTACTGACTACAGTGAGGAAGTGTTAGGTTAGTTAAGAATTTGGTCGTTAACAGCACGTTGGAAGTGATTCAAAGATCACAGAACTCTATCAAATCGTTCCCTTTGATTTCAATGGGCTTTAAACCCTGTGGAAAAAAACATCAGTTTCTAGGGTAACAAAACCAGAAAAAAACACTTTACTCATCAGCTTTTAGAGTCTAAAGCAAACAGCCAGGACCTTTTATTTCTTGCATTTTGGAGCAATCTATTGTTTAGAATAGCCTTTTGGATGGCCAACTGTTTGTTTGCATGATTTGAATTAACAGGCAAATATTCCAGCAAAGGTAAAAGTTTGAGGTGCCTTTGACAACAATCAAGCCACGTGTGTGTCATGGAGAGTTTAACAGGAGGGTGGCAAGAAAGTGCTCAAAATATTTACCTCCCTACATAAGATCCACTGTGAAGACTGAAACATTCTGTCTTTGCTTGGGCAAAATCCCCTGAATATAAATGGGAATTTTTCCCAATTAAAAGCCGGATCTATAACCGCTCAGGCAATATCAACATATCAAAACAGACATCTTTTAGCCCCGTATTTTGTTATAGGTTTTACCTGGTATGTGACCTCTGCAAGTATAATAGAATTCTTTACAATAGTCTCTGCACAGGTAGGGAAGAGTTAGTTCTCTTTCAGCTGTTTCCCCTTTCTCAGGTGAGTGGAATAGGTTCTGAGCGTGAGGTGAGCAGTGTGCACATTTGATTTCCTCCAGTAGCTTCGCACATTCTGTGTTGTTGGTAACAGAAAGTATCTGCAAGCCACAAACCAGAGACAAATAAACACATGACCTGTTCCCCCATCTTACACAAAGGAAGATTGCATGACCTAATGTAATAAACAATGCTAGTGGGACAAATACAGTTAGTATCAATGCATTTTGTTTCAAGTGCAAATGAAATTACTATGAAATGTGCAATATGCCATTAGTACGGTGAGATTTTCATTTCTCTGATTTCTTACATAAGATTCTATAAGAACCTTATATAAGATTCTATAGGATTTCTTATCTGAGCTTGCTTCTCAGATGAGAATAATAGCACTGAAGTTATTTTAAAGACTCATGCCTGCCATCTCTTAATCATGTAGGCAATCTCTCAACTAGAGAGATATGTATATAAGGAGGAGTTACAGCAGCAGGCCTTTTATCCACTTCTCTTATGAGACATACCTACAAATCTAACTTGTAAGGTGTTTAGAGGCTAAAAATTAAAGTTCTACCATCAAAACACATCAGGAAAAACATGTCTAGGTATGTGTAAAGTAGGTGTATCTTGAACGACACCACTGCCTGGCTACTGAAATGACTGCTGTGGAATTGAGCAGGTGCCGTGGATTTTTCATGCTTTAAATGCTGCTCTGCTTTTTGCTCTCTCTAGTGCAAACTACTTGGAGGTGGGAAAACCTGTGTGTTTTCAGACATATCTTTCTACAAGTGAAAAAGTAGAATTTGTAACATCTTGTTTGCGTCAATATTGAATCTGTAACTTTGTCCTGAAAAAAAGAGCATATATTATGTATGCATAGCACTTGAAGAAGCATGAAACCACGACTGATGATGTGTTTAAGTAAACACAGGAGCCTAAGGAGCACAATGTCATCAAATCGTGAAAAATAATGGAAAACAGCATAGTTGTCTTTATTAGCTTTTGAATGCAGTGCACTTTGTTAATCTATTGTTAACCACATGGATTGTTTTTTGATCATTCATCCCAATGGTGGGTAGTGGGAAATGTGTTCCCTCTGTTGAGATCGACTGAATCTGATCCAATGCAAAAACAAAGCTCAGGTTCCTTCTGCCAGTTATTTAACAGAGTTATAAACAAGGACTGTAAGACACTTAGGTTAAGAAATATTAATGTGGCAAATATTTGTGTTTGTAAAATTTGTAAATATTTGTAAATAGCGCTTGAAAACATTGCTAGTTTTGCTATAGCTCATATCTCTGAGTTGATTTGTAGAAGGACTTTTCAATGTCACTCCTTTGCAACGTAACATTAAAGGGGAATTATCTAATTTACTTCTGAAAAAGTGAGTTATTCAATGCAGGAAGACTCCTGATATGTTTGAGTATGCTGTCTCCTACATCTGTTCTCTTCTTGGATGCTGTACTTTGATAACATAGTTCTGAACTCATCTTTTTATTTACAGATCATAACTACATGAATTTCAAAAGCTTGAGAGAAATGCACTTTCTGTTGTTTTCAACAGATAGGTATTCAAAATATTACACAATATATGTACAGCCTGTACATTTAAATGAAATTCTGGTTAAAACAACCTTGATTTAGAAGGCAAACTCTTCCCAGGAAAATTTAGTCTTACCATACGTATATTGTCAAAAGCCATCTGAAATGTGTACTAAAGTTTAATGTTGTAAGTTGGGACCCTGATTAGAACAGCGTTTGGCTTCTATCCTTATTCTCGATATGCTGCCACTGGCCTCAAAAATAATTCCTCCAGATTTGCCAGGATCATTAAATGCAATAAATGTTCTGTTCTTGACACTACCTGTTCTCACACTATCCTCAGCTTCATAGCACCTGCAATTCAGTAATGTGATTAACATCTGCCCCACATATTGTTTATTATCTCTCTTCAGACCCTTCTTGAGAATGTAACTGTCTCACATATTTTGGAAAGGGTTTGCCTTCTCTCTCTCTCTTTTTCTTTAAAAAAAAAAAAACCTTTAGGACGGTAATCAATTAATTGCATGTTGCATGTATGGCAGAAGGTTTGCATTGGTCCTGAATTCTTTGGGGAATTCTTTCCATGGCTGCAGGCTCTTCTCTCCTGAAAAAGTTTAGTTTCTTTTTGCTAGATTGCTCATTTGAGCCATAGCATTGCAACTGTTAACCTTGGTCTTGAGTTTTGTATGTTGTTCTAGATATGGTAAATGTGGAGGGAAATGCATTGAAGTCAAGAACTAAAAACACAATGACAACTACAATAAACTATAACCAAAATACATAACAACTAAAACTTTGAGCTTGACTTAATACTGCCTAGGACTGCAGTCCAGGTAGTAAAAAATAGACTTGACGTGCTTGCAGTAATCCATGCTGCTGAGGTAATCTGCATGAGCTGCACTTTATTAAGGGATGCTGTGATTTTGATGGGAAGGGGCCTGTATAATTCATTCAGGTCATTGTCTGCCAAATAGAACAAAGTCTGAAGCCAACAGGGGATGACTAAAAGCACTATCCATAAATGCTACTTTTAAAGAACATTATGTCACTTCTCTCCTGAAGTAAGGACAAAATGGCCCATTTGGGTGTTTCCACCAAAGGAAACTGTACCTTGAGTACAGACCCTTCAAAGTACTTGCCTACATTCAGTAGTATCACCTGGTTTGCAGAAGTCTCAGATGTTTTCATCAGGGAGCTCATCTCAGGCAGTAAGCTTTCTTGTGGTAGCACTATGACAGTGTGTTTAGAAGTACAAGTAAACACAAGGTATTACTAGGTAATTATTCAGTGTGCTTATTGAATTAACTCCACAGTGATGCAGATAGAAAACTGTACTTCTACTGGAAGACTCCAGAACACACTGTGTATGGAGGGAGGGGGAAGGGGGAGGGGAAATAAATTACAGGATAGCAAAGCTAATTTACTGTTTCTTGTGGAAAACGTAATTGACGTTGCCTGGTGATACAGGCTTGCCAACATTTCAGTCCTCAAAGTTAAGACAAAAGGATCCTAATCCCCCTGAGCAGCTGCTATCCAGGAATTAACCACAGGAATTCACCCCCTCATGTCATTTCTGGAATGAATCTTGGTCATATAATAGCTAATCGGAAGATTAAGGAAAGAGAGTCAATCAATTATCTGAAAATCAAGTACAATGTTACTTAACTTTTAGAATGCTCAAGCAAAATAGGGTGGTAACATTTCCTCTGTGTGAGGTCTGATGTGTAACTCTGTCCTGGCTTGGAGATAGGACAACCTCTCTCTTCTGAATTTCAGTAAATCCATAATGTATTTATCCTGGAGTATATTAAAACAGTTTTAAGCGAATTCTGAAACACTTATTTGAATTAAGCTTTTTGGATGTCTACTTTGAAAGTGACCTTAAAGTTGACAATGGCTTTGGTCTTTTGAAGAAATGTAAACTAATTTCCTCCTTCAATTTTTAAAGTCGTATGTGAAACCATCAAACTGCAGTGGTTTAAACTAACTGTGCTCTGGAAAATATGTAAAACTTCCAAACATTTATTGCAACATGCCTAATAATGATTATGCCTGCTGCTGACTAATTTACAACATCTGTAAGATCATCCTTTAATCTCTAGCCACATGAAAGTAAAATGGGTAGACTAAAGGTAAGATAAATCCTGGAATGCACAGGAAAACGTAGCACACTAAAGTGGTTTATCAACAAAAGGAAGAGTGCAAAGAAGAAACAGAAGATGACACAATAGACAGAAAATCTTTATGATTAATATTGTCATCTGTTTTGTGTACTCTGTCATATCTAGTTGGAGAAAGGCAGTATAATTTTGATGCTAACAGAAAAAAACCCAGTGAAATAAGTCATTGCATTAAGCCATATTTGATATACAAGCATTTATGTCTAAAAATCATGTGCTGACGAGATCGTTCAGCTGTTGAGTTGAACATATGCCTCTTCTGTATTATAGTGCTGGATTATGTCATTAAAGAGTTCGGTTTCAATTTTAGGGTAATATTTAAATAGATCATTGTACTAAGGCAGCTGTTAAAGGGACCCCAAGATGAGTTATTTGTTTAGTTGGATGTGTTCAACAATAGCCTTTGTTCATGAAAGAGCCAGAGCAAACAAATGATTGTAAAAGGGCACACTTGAAAACAATTACTTTTCACCCATTCCTTGACAGCCTTGGCTGTGAAACCATCCAAGGTAGAGAGGACTTCTTTGCCTGTCAGGCTGCAAGCAAACTTTTAGAAAAACTGATATTTTTGACTGGGATGTAGCAGCCCTTCGAAAACAAGGGGATATTGCAGAAAAATAAAAGACAGAGTTAAATGTCAACAGGATGCAAATATTGTACTTGAGCCAGTGCAATGTTGTATCGGCTTATTACGGTAGCTCCATTTTTCTTCCCAAAGCAGCAGGCAATGGTGGTCTTTTCATTATAAGCACAGATCAATACCTTGATCAAAAATTCTTGAAGACCCAGCATCTTGACCAAGAAGCTCTTATGAGAATGTCTACTGAGCATGCTCAATTAATTAATTTTTTTTTCTTTTAAGATGGTAGCGTTCAAGTTTCTGTTAGTGGCATAGCCACTCCATCATGTAGGTATATTATGGAGTTTAAAAAAGCTGGTTTTGGAACTGTAGTAGAACGCAGTTTAAAAATGTGCTTTTAGAAAACTTACATTCAAATGTGTCCCATAATACTTTGCCATGTCTTTTACAGAATGACCATCTCATTCTGTCAAGTGTAAATGACATATACTTTGACATTTTTTCTAAATATATATTGATATGATAAAGCAGATTTATGAGTTTCATAACCATTAATCTTTAGTGAAAAAAGTCTGATTTTACAACCCTGTAAAATAATATTCCTTAAAAAGTGTAATCTATATTAAAAAAAAAACAAAACAAAAAACAAAAACCAAAAAACCCCACAACCAATAAAAAGCCCAAATAAACAGGTTCGACAGCTCAGAAATAGATACTGTGGCATATAGGGTCACTTCCTCACACTTATGTCAGGTTTTTAGTACTGTTAGTAAAAGAGAAACCTACACTCAAAAGGAATTAAAAGATTTTTTAAGGAATAGTAAGAAGAGAATAAACCCTTCAACAGCATTGAGATGGAAAACTAACCAAAATTGAACTTCCAGTTTACTGCATTCAACCAGTTACCACAAGGGTCTCCAAGCATTGAATAATCTCAGTAGCATATATGCCACCAAGACATTGTAAACAGGGTGAATTAAGGACATATTTTCCAGTCTTGATTCTTTTTTTTCTTTTTTTTTTTTCCTTTCTCTTTTTCTCAGCTAGATCTTTCAGGTTATGTGTGTGGTTAGTTTATAGTTTAATTCAATTATCACACAGGAGCTTAATGACACTGTCTCTAGACAACATGAAGAAATATATCTGCCTTGAATCTCAAACTGCTGCTGCATATGGTATGAATAAAGAGAGATCTGCAGCTGAAAACCTGCAGTAAGACAGTTCTCACTCATCTGGGAATAGAGGGGGTAGGACAAATGCTCCCTCAAAAGGCATGAACATTTGGACAGAGCTGGGGACTGAAGGAGAATGATGTTCTCCAGTTTCACCCATTAGTGAACCAACTAACAAACACAATGGTGTTGTTGTTATTCTTTTGCCATAAGCAACAGGACTCTGTGTGTGGGCAGCAGTTTAGTGGGGAGGAGGATAAGTCGACCCCTTTTTGTCCTATTGATTTTTTCCTATTTGCATGACTTGAGCAAATTAAATGATGCAATATGGCTTTTTGTTACAAAACAAAGTGAGAGATACCACCCAGACACATATGTTGATTCGTAGAAGCTGTTTACATGAGAATGGAGTGAAATCTACCGTGAACTGAGCATAAAAATTCGATTCAGGCTGGGTATTTTTTTTTTTATTATGCTTGGGCCAGCAAGACTGAAACACAAGTTTTCCAAGAGTCTCTCAGACCTTGACAACTACAGAGTTGTAACTGAGGAATTCTTAATTAAACCTAAACCAGGATGAAATAGGGAAAAGAAAGAAAGAAAGAAAGAAAAGGAATAATAATAATAATAATAATAATTAAAAAAAAGACACTTGATTGTTTATTTCACGTGCAGTGACTCTTAATGACATTATTCAGCAACTTCCCTCCCTGTGCGTACCCCTGGATGCAGCACTGGCCATCATAGCAGAGCTTATCAAACGCAGTCCTGCCGGGTTAGGTACCCACGCGTTTGAAAATCTAAGCAACAGGCTGATAAGCAGAATTTAACTTGCTGAAGGATGCGGAGAACTTGACGATTTTAAGAAATCGGTGGGCAGAGGAGGTGCTTCCCTTCACATGACCGCAGCTTGAAATTGGGCAGAGAGGCTGCCAGGTAATGTGAAAAGGCAGAGTGTCTCACGGCACCTGGTGCGAGGCACCGGTCCTGAGCGAGAGCCGTGAGACCGGAGTCCTGCAGCGGAGACTTCGGGGGTCTTTCGCCGCTGGTACCTGTAACTGTGAGTACCACCGGGGCCCCGAGGCGGCTGGAGATCACAGAGTGTTGCTACACCGGCACCGGCCGCAATCCAAACCCCCTCCTAACTTTGCTCCGGAGGAGCAAACTGGACACGAGTCTTCACCCCAGAAAAAAAGCCAAGCCGGATGGCACCGCCGGGCGAAGGCAGAGCCCCCTCCGCTGCCGCTGCCCGGGCGGCGGCCGGAGCCCGTCCGGCTCCTCCGCCTTTCCCCGCAGCCGCGCCCGGGCAGCGGTACCTGCGGGCGGCCCGGCCCTGCTGCACGGGGACGGGGCCGGGGCCACCGCCAGAAACTCCGGCGCTGCGGACAAGAAGTAACTCGCAGGCAGAGCCGCCGGCCGGCACCGCGCTCCCCCCGCGGGGCGCCCGTCCCCTCCAGGGCGCGGACCTGCCGCGCTCCCCGCGCCTCCCGACGAAGCAGCCCCGCGCCAGGACCACGTCCCTGCCGCGCCCTCGTCCCCCGGGCAGGAACGGTCGCCCCCCGCCGCGGCATCGCCCCCACCCGCGTGGGAAACGCGGCAGGTTCGCGGCCGGTGCGTGGCTCCACGCAAAAAATAGGGAAACAACTCCAAAAACCTCCCCCCGGCCACAGCCCAGCGCAGCCCCAGGTGGTGCCTACCTTCGCCTCGGCGTGCGGCAGCCCCTGCGGCTCGGAGCGGGAGCAGCAGGACAGGCGTGGGTAGAGGCCGCGGCACATCGCCTCCCCGCCGCCCGGGGCCTCCGGGGACAGCACCCGCCGGTCCCGCTTCTTCAGCCGCCGCGGCGGGGTCCCGTTGAGGCACCTTCTCCTCCGGGCGCCGCTCTCCCCAAACTTGGCATCCCCCTCGAAGAAGCACAGAACCACGGCCACCAGCAGCAGCTTAAACGGCAGCATCTTGAGCATCATGCCTGAGGGAGCGTGTGAATGCACCCAAACCGGGGATGGGGGGGGGTGGGTGGGGGGAGAAGGAAGGAGGGGAATCCCACTGACTTTTCTTTGCACTTCAGATCAGGAAACCACCTCCCTCCCCCAGAAGGGGAAAGTCTGGAGGAGAATAATAACAGTAGCGGTTAAAAAGCCGACGGAGGAACAGCACCTCGGCCACCCCTCGCTTCTTCCAAAAAGGCGGACGCGAAGAGGCAGGAGCGGGGGACCGAGCCCCCCGAGCCCCCGGCGGGAGGATGCTCGAAGCCGGCGAAGTTGTGCGAGCGGCACAGGTTTTAGCAGCTGCCGCTGCCGCGCCGAGGCGCCGAGGCTCGGGGCGGGCCGGGCAGCGGGCGGCGGCAGCAGCAGCCCTTCACTTGTCGTCCCATAGGAAGGGTGTCCCCGCGGCGGGACTGCGGCGGCGGCCGGGCCGGGCGATGCCCCCTCCGCTGCTGCTGCTGCTGCTGCCGGCGGCGGCTGCGGCTCGCCCGGGCTCTCATGTTTCGCTCCCTCTTTTCTTCTTCTTTTTAAGCGGCGCGCGGGGAGGTGCTGCCACCGCGCGCCCTGCACGTCACCCGGCGGCATCCACCGGCCGCGCGTGCCGCCCGCCGGGAAGCGGGAGCGGCGGAGGGGCCGCGCCCGCCGGGAGGGAGCGGCGCGGGGGCGCGGCGGGAGCGCGGGGCAGGCGGCACGCCCCGCCCCACAGAGATGTCCCCCCCACCCAAAGGGGGTCCGGCTGCCCCTTTTCTCCCGGTGGAACGGGAGCCGGGCCTCCCGGAGGGAGGGAGGGAGGCAGGAGGCGGGCGCCTTCCCGCTCCCCTGTCTCGGCGGGAACCGGTGGAGCCGCGTCGGTGCCCGGTGGAAGGCGAGCGTCGTAGGTGGGTCCTGCGCCCCCGACGGCCGAGGCGCCCGGGGCAGGGCTCCCTCGGCGCTCGGCTCTGGGTCTGCTCGCCCGTGCCCGCCCATTGCCCCTATAACTCATCCCCGAACGCCAGGGAAGGTTCCAGAGGCGTGGGGCCAAGCGCGGGGCGGGCATCGACGGCGGGAGGTGCCCTCAGCTCCCGGTGGCTTTTTCTAGCGGAGCTGCGGAGTAGTTACTGCCACCGGAGTTGCCGTGGATTCTCAGACCCCTCGGTGTCTGTGAGCGCGGTGACACTCACGGCTTCGTTCTGACCGTGATAACCAAAGTACAACCTGTTGGTAATGGCGGCATGGAGGCCGTTTCTAAAGGTGGGAGGGAGCGGGATGTGGAGGGGTGAGCATCGTCCTGGTGTGCCGAGAACGGGGACCTGTGTGTGGGAAGAGTGGGATGAGCCGAGTACTTTGCTTGGTGGCAAGAGAGCACCTGCTTGACCAGAAGCCAACCAAAAAGGGAAAGACCAGCCCAATGTGAGCAGGGGGGAAATGGATTTGGGAAGAAAAACGTTGGAAGCCCAGAGAACTAGAGCCCAGGGTAGAGGCCGAGAACGCTGAGAGGAGGTGCTGCAGAGCCCCACAGGTGGCAAGAGGGAGCTGGAGGAGAGGAAGGAGAGGAAGCCCTCGGAGGTGGCTGAAGTGAGGGTGCAGCTACTGCCACTGACTTGGGGGTAAAGGGCAGCTGGATAAATAGAGTCAGAGGTGTATTTAGAGAAAAAATTGGCTTGTACCCAAAGAGCTCCCTTAGCAAGGAGAAAGGGAAAGAAGTATTGCCTGGATGTGTGCTGATGTGTACTAGTGTCTCTAAACCAACTAGGCGCTGTTCCTGTTCACCTACCATTTGTTTTTCACCAAACAAAATGAGTCTCTCCATATTTACATTTGAACTCTTACACAGTCCACGCTGAACTAAACAGGAGTTTGGCATAGATAAATGGTACATCAGATAAATTATTTAGTAGACATAAAGACTCTTTCCCCTCAAGTGCCTTTTTGAAGCTTAGTATTTCCTTTAACTCACGACTACCCCTTGTCTTGACTCTCATTTGACTGACAGTGCTCCCAGGCAAGGTGGTGTTCCCAACCAAGGCCCGAACCACATCCGCATGAGTGAGGGCGGCCTGTGGTGCAGCTTGGGTCCCAGCACTCATGTTAATGAGAGAAACAAGAGTGTATTCTGGGGATACAGCATCCTGCTTTGTAGTTTTAGAGAAAAGTACTGCTTTGCAATACATGAACTTGACTTGTTCCGTGATCAACCTGACATGGCTGAACTGTAGCAATGTAGCTCTACTACAACAGCTCTGCCCTTTTCATTGCTCTGGGTTATTACATAGATTATTTTAAAATAAAAGTGAGTCTGGTATACATCAGAGTAACTGTATCAGAAAGAAGTCACTTTTATTCCCAAGCAGACTCCTTACAGAGGGTTACTTGGCAGAACTGTAGTGGCCTAAGGACACAGCTGGAGGTCTGTATGCCTCTTTTCCCTGTGTAGGCAGGTGCTCATGCTTCTCATGCAGGTTGTGTGTACTGCATCTCCCTTACTGGAGCGGGAAAGTAGAACTTGGTGGAAGGAAGCGAGTGTGGGGCAGATACCCTCTTGAAAAAACAAATGTTCTGTGAAAATATCCGTTGAGCAGTTTTGGCCTGGTCCTTGCAGTTCCCGTCTCTCTGAAGGAGAGAGGAAGTGAAGAATATAAATCTGTATGATCAAAGTAATGCAGCTATTAGTAAATAACCTTTCTTCCTCCTTCAAGTGCTGCCTGCATAAATATCCATTTCTATGTATACCTGTACGAGTTCTCAGAGAAGGTGAGTTTGAGGTGTATTAATTAGATAGAGAATGATTTCCTGAAATGGGGTTTAGATCAAGCTGCCAAACTAAGAAAGAGATGGCAGTTTGTTCCAGAGGGTCCATTTCTACACAGAAATTTTATACAGATCTATGATGGAGACATTTCCCAGAAATTCTATGGAGTGTACTTTTGACCTTGTATAATATAAAGTGCTCAAAAATTCAAGCTCTGTAGTGATAGAGTGATGTAAAGATGTATAAGCAAGACTTGAATAGGGTTGAATGTTCTTTAAAACCTCTGAATAGAAATTACTGTTTCTTGGGGTTTTGTGCAAAAAGACCTGATTTAATCTCATGTTCTTTTCCACACTTTAAAAGTACATGTTGGCTTCTTTTTTAACAAAGTATTTTTCTCAAGCTGATTGATACAGGGTTTTATTTATAAACCTTTTTAATAAAGCAAAGTTAAGGTCAGTATTAGTTTATGTCAGTTCAGGGTGTCAACTTTAGGTGACTTCCAGCTTCTGATAAACAGAGATAAGGGAATACTTATGAAGTAAAAACATATACATAGGAAATATGGATAATAAACACATCAGTTTTTCTAAGGCAACCTGGCTTCTGTCATACGAAGCTCATTACTAGAAATGATTAAACATGGTGATGCCATAAGTGAGCTGAGTAAATTCTGTTATTTGTTCAGATGTACATGAGAATCTTTGGGTTACAGTGCAATTACACGTGAAAAGGTTAGAAAGTTTTAAAAAAGGAAGCAGTTGCTGACACAATGTTTGAATATAGCTAGATTTTCTTCTAGTTTTGCCTGGGAGATAAGCAGACTGTGCTTATTTATGCCATTGCTTTAATTATCTGTATTATTATCTATATCATGAGTCCCTGTATCACGTGGATTAAATGTGACAGAATGCCTTTCGAAGAGTGTGAGGGTAATTGTGGCATGCACCTGAACTTACTATCTCTCAGTTTATTTTATGCCATACATATTTTGCAAGGGAATTTAATTGCACCAAGAACCCTGCTTTAAGGTTTGAAGAGCAGTTTAATATCTTTATCGATGATCTGGATGAGGGGATCGATGAAGTCCACCCTCGGTAGTGAACAGATGACACCAAATTGTGTGGGAGTGTTGATCTGCTGGAAGGCAGGAGAGCTCTGCAGAGGGATCTGGACAGGCTTGATCGATGGGCTGAGGCCAGTTGTATGAAGTTCAGCAAGTCCAAGTGCTGGGTCCCACGCTTGGGTCTCAACAACCCCATGTAGTGCTACAGGCTGGGGGAAGAGTGGTTGGAAAAGTGGCCCAGCACTGGTTGACAACTGCTGAACATGAGCCAGCAGTGTGCCCAGGTGATCAAGAAGGCCAATGGCATCCTGGTCTGTATCAGAAATAGTGTGGCCAGCAGGACCAGGGCAGTGATTGTCCCCCTGTACTTGGCACTGGTGAGGCCACACCTCGAGTGCTGTGTCCAGCTTTGGGCCTCTCACTACAAGAAAAGACACGGAGGTGCTGGAGCAAGTCCAGGGAAGGGCAGTGGAACTGGTGAAGGGTCTGGAGAGTGTCGTGTGAGGAGCAGCTGAGGGAGCTGGGGTAGTTTAGCCTGGAGAAAAGGATGCTCAGGGGTGACCTTATTGCTCTCTACAACTACCTGAAAGGAAGTTGCAGCAAAGTGGGGGTCGGTCTCTTTTCCCAGGCAACTGGTGACAGAACAAGAGGACAATAGCCTCAAGTTGTACCAGGGGAGGTACAGGAAGAATATTTTCACTAAAAGGGTGCTTAAACATTAGAATGGACTGCCCAGGGAGGTGGCGGAGTCACCATCCCTGGAGGTGTTCAAGAAACGACTGGATGTGGCACTTAGCGCTATGGTTTAGTTGGCATGGAGGTGTTCGGTGAAAGGTTGGACCCAATGATCTTGGAGGTCTTTTCCAGCCTTAATGATTCTGTGATTCTAAGTCAATGAATTCCCCAGTAGTTTGAACAGAAGAGGAAATGTGTGGTTATGTGTAGCAGCTAATGTCAGTTTTGGGAAATAGAGTTATCACAGGAGTTTGCAGATAGGAGCAGAAGCTGGGCAAAGTGATCCCATGACACCAGATTTGATGGAAGCAAACAGTAACATCAGATTATTCCTAAAGTCCCAACAGATGTTTTCTGATGGCACAGCTTTACATACTGTTGTGACTCACAGGAGAACTTTATATATGGTCACCTTGCTTTCACAGCTAAGCCCATGTAGTATGAGATGTATCTTCTCAGCAGCGATATCAGGGCTAAATTCCAACTTTGCACGCTGGTGGCAAATACCTGGCATGCCATGAGGATGAATATTGCAGTTTTAGAACAGGCTAGGAGACAAACCATCACTCACCTTGGTCTACATCTGAGAAATTATGGTATTTAAAGTACTAGTAGAGGAACATCACCCCTCTGTGTCAAAGGCAGGTGGATTTCAGTTCTTGGGAGAGTGACTCTGCTCTTGTTTTAGCTGACATTTGAGTTGAACTTCTGAAACACACTTTTCTCTTGCCATTATTTTGTAAAGAGAAAAAAAGCCTTTTTTCTTTTATTTCAGAACCACTTCCTTGTCAGATGAAATGAGAATGGAATCTCTCCATATCTTGTCACTATTACACTTTTCACTGAGTCCATTATACATGTTGTTTCGAGCCCTCTATAAACTGTGGG